TCCTGCATGATTTATGTAAGAATTAAACAATTTGTTAATTCAGTCTCAGTTTTTGCTTCTTGTTGAATATGGATTTCTAGACAAATTATAATATAGTGTTTCTTTTTGAATCAATTATAAAAAAAAAATATCAAGGCTATAACAAGTATAACAGAAATTCATGCAATATCCAATAAATTTACAAGAGACAGTTTTTACATGAAAACAACAAACAACTTTATTTTGTCACAAACAATAACAGTTCCAAAAATACATAGTTTATAACTTTGAATTAGTCAAAATACTGTTGTACAATTCTAAAACAAGAGAGTACACTAAAAACCAAATATATATAAAGTAATAAATTAAAATAAATTTAAAAATCTGAAAACCTTTTTCCACTCTTGGTAAAAAAAAATGCAATTTAATAATACCTATTGCAATAATCTGCAAGTTAAATGCAAATTCCATTACCTTTCCTGACTTTATGCACAAAAATATGCATTCTGCCTAAAACTCCCCCCTTCCCCGAAAAAAAAAAGAAAAAAATTAAAAAAGACAAAATATGCAATCTCTCTTAAAGATCCTCCCCCCCCCAAAAAAAGACTGGAAAAAAAAAAAGAAGGGGGACAAATACATACATATTAGTAAGTGAATTAAAACAAATTTTTGCATTTGCTCAAATTTAATTCAAAGGTAATTACAACAAACACCTTTTTTTTTAATTATAAAAGTAACATTTAACAATAAAACAAAGGACAGTATAACAAAAAGGTATTTAAGACTTTAAACACTTAAAAATAACAAAATGTATCAATACCAGTTGTAAAAGTGTGGTACAAAATAAAGTAGCTTTTTAATAGGAAAACAAAATGCAGAAGTGCATGGTACAGTTTAATCAAGTAATATAACCAGTTCCAGAAAGAATATTCTTCCTATAAATTTGAAAACTATGATAATATGGATTGAAAATAATTTAGTATACAGTTCTAAATTTATTATAATATGCATGAATAGATATATTTTATTTGATGCACTTAGTAATTGCATTATTAAAAAAAAGTATTTTTCCATTAAAGTATATTATGAAAATCTTATTTAGATAGTTTACTTTTTAAAATACTAGAATTTAAAGGGGAAAATAAAACTTCTTCTACAAAAATTTCAAATTTTGCTCTTAATAGCTGAATCAGAGTTTATATCATTATTAAAAGATACTTTCTATGGTAAACATTTTGCACAGGAAGTTGTATGTTAATAACTGCAGAATACATATATAATCCATATATTTAATTCAGCAAAAAACAGCTTAAATTTCTTCATAGTATAAAAGAAATCCTCATCTATAAAATACATAAACCAATTAATTTCCTAGTTTATCATTATCAACCAGAAATGTTCAAAACTGCTAAAACAAACTAACATTGAAAATGTATCAAATTATTTGACATTATTTGAAAACATCATCCTCTGAAGAAATATCTTTTATAATTCCCATATAATTTAAACTGAAGAATAAAAACAAATGATATATAAAATATATATATTTGCATCAATATGAACTGATTAAAGAAAAGAAGTACAAAATGCAGAATATTTGGTGGAAGAGAAGACAAAATATAAACATTCAAAATATAAGAAGCAAAATGTCAGTGTCACTTAAATTTTCAAAAAAACAATATTCCTATTTATTTTCTATCAATAAGTCTTCATACTTCTAACTGTAAAAAATCTTACAACTTATTTATATATTTTAAATCTAATTAGAAATAACTGTCAATCTATAATCATTCATAGTATCAATTTGTCAATTACTATGTTTGACACAGATACATTTTCATAACTGTCTAAAATTCTGCCTTAGAACAAATAAACATAAGAATCCATTCAATCACAATTATGGAATTTTTCATAAAATAATGAAACTTTTCAACACAATTAAATGAAATTAATATCATGTTGCCAGAAAGAAAGAGTTCAAGCCATGAAAGATGTAAAACCTAAATTTTTAATATAACTAAAATATATATTTGCAGTGCATTTTATATGAAATATTAACTTATATTTTGATAAAAAATTTGCAAAGACTATTACAATAAAAATAAATAATTTTGCACCAATATAAGAGATTTATCTGTCCTCACACTTATTTTCTTATTTCTATCATGAAATTTTCAGATATAAATGGATATAAAAAGACTATTTTAGAAGAATTAATATTCATTACATTATTAATAATAGATAAGTTACACTTTAATCCAGAATTTTGAAGAAAGTTAAATAAGGTATGAAAATAGTTGAAAGTGTTATTCAATTTATAAGCTACATATATCAATAAGGCTTAAAACTTATTCCACAAACTACTTAATTTTATTTATTTATTTATTTATTTATTTATTTGCAAATTGACCTAGTATTTCAGATCTGCACTACTAAGTGTATTGGTTTCACCATAGGATGGAAGCCTGGTCGGTGGTGAACGAACAAACTACTAAGCATATATATGTCAGCAGTATTTAAAATTTTTTAATTAATACCAAGTAAAATATGGTTAATAAATTACTTTTTATGTGCCCATAATAATACATTTGTTAACTTTCTTGCTCTTAAATTAATTATTCTATTTTTTAAAAAATTACCCTTCCACTCAAACAAAATATATGCCTGCAGAACTAGAATCATCAAATGGCTAATGAAGGTCACAAATATTTTCATGTACACTTAATTTTACTAAAATGAAAGTTTTGGTCTTGAGAGCATATAATTCACACTCTTAAAAAAAAAAAGAAAAGAAAAGAAAAGAAAAGAAAAAGAAAACTTACTTTAGCAAATATTTCAAATATTCTAGAATTAATTATAAAACCATTTGATGATTCTAATACATATTTACCAAAACATGAAACAGATTAATCATTCATTTGTATGTTACCAAACAATTAAAAATGAAATCATTAGTTTCATATGAAAACAATACAGAAAATTAAATCTGTGACACTAGTATAAAATAGATACTATTTTAAACAAAAGAGAAACCTGTATTTTCATGCCAAAATATAAAATATATTTCATTCTAAGCATAAGAGTTATAAACATGAATTGACTATCTTTATTCACAGTTAAGCTCTAAACTGATCTAACGTAATCATTACAACTGATTGCAACAGAACTTTCCACCAGCATTCTTTAGAAATTCCGTCCTTTAGAAATCATGACTTAGTTGTAGTACAACAAAAGCTCAACTATCCAGACAGCTCAGAAAATGCTGAATTTCGGATACATGAAAATTCTGGATAGTTAAGTATATAAAAAAACAGGATTTTAGGATAAATAAGACAAGAAAACAGTAGAATTAAAAAATGGCCCAAACAGAATATTTTACCCGATTTTGCTAAAGCAATCAACATGTTAAACCAAATGATTTTGTTGCATTGTCACACTTACACATTATCAGCACTACATCACACTGTTTGGTAACAATGTACATGTGTTTAATAGTATTTCAAACTTTATAATATTGTTACAAATCTCTCAGTTAGTATATTTTTTAGTGGCTTAAAACTAAAATATTCTCGTTACTTAAACTTTCCAGTTAGTTGAATGCCCTTATAGTCAAGCTTTCACTGTATATAAATTTTCTGATTATTTTTTGACATATGCAATAATGCATGCAGGAAATGAACATTAACAGCAACTTCAATTTTTTAACTTCAATCTAACATACACACAGATTCCAATCACTATTTATATTTTATTATTTCTTCATTTTCTTCACATTAATACAGCTGCACATTTAGTCATCACTCCTCAACACAAATCTGTTTTGTTTTTATGATTGGTACTAACTCATATATTCAAATCTGTCAATTTAAGAATTTCTTAATGAAAAAAAAAAAAATTACTACAGTTCTCTTAATTTTTCAGTTCATTACTCTTTAAAAAAAATACACAACTAGGTAATGATTTAAAAAAATACCAAATACAAAATAAATGCATGAGACTTTTCTTACTCTACAAAACAAAATTCAAAATATTTAAGACCAACATAAATAAACAAAGGTTTTTTAGGAAATGTTGCACAAACTGAAAATATAGTATTTTATGTGTTCCCAAAATGTAATATTAATTGCTATTCAGAAAGTAACACATTTTACAGTTTGAAACATTTAAGATCTTATGTTAATAGCAAAGTTTTCAGAAAATATAAAGCAGAGAATGCATAGCTGTATTATACCTGAAAAATTTAGACCATAGTACCTATATTTACAGCTCATACTAGTTTGGAATCAAATTTTCACATTTTAAATGGGGGAAAAGCACAAAGCAATTGCTTTAATTCCATTAATTAAGCTACATCTTAAGAAACAGAGGTACATTTATTTAATAACAAGATTAGTAAAAATAACCTTGTTAAAAAGCAAAATATCCTAGAGTTAAATCTTTTATTATTATTATTATTATTATTATTATTATTACATGCCATGACGGGACAGTTCTTGAACGTAGATATACTTTCTATAAAAATTATTATAAATCCTCTTACATCACACGTATACTGCATATGTTTCTCTTTAATACATAAGTTACACACAATAATTGCACATAATATATTGCTAAAATCAGCTTTTCAACAATCAAAACTAAGGATTAAATACTTCAAGCAAAATAGATTACATATTTCTAGTTCCTAGTAATTTCCTAGTGAAAAACATAATGCATGAAAGTTTGTGATCTAAATTTTAAAATTAAATTAAAAGCTTTAAAATTTCATAAATTTTACAATGCATTTTCAATTTATTAAAATGTATTAAAAGTCATGGAAAAGGTTACAAGTTGAAACAAATTTTACAATATATAAAAATGTGGGAGCTATTTATAATAATATACTAATGGAACGCATAGAGGAAAATGTTAAAAATTATGAATGGTTAAACATTCTTCATTGAATTTGATAAAATTACTTCAAGTTCATAATTTAAATACATGTAAATGTGCAGCAATTTTCTTTAAATCAAGTACTTTCACATAAAAATATACAAAAATAATTTTTAAATAACATGAATTATTTTTAGTATAAACAATTTTAGCTCTTTTACTTTTTACATTATTTACATTTTTTATTTCAATGCAGCATACACTTTTTTGTAGCTTTTAAGGCATTCAGTTCCTACGAAGTTCAGCTGTAAGTTCATGAAAATTCATCACAAACCACTTAGATCCTTGTCTCACTTTTTCACGAATTTGATTTCCTCCAAAACCAATAAAAGCATCCTAAAAAAGCATAAACCACAATTTAAAAAATTACATATCAATACCCATTACAACCAGCAATTCTACTTTCAGATGAGAGATTAGTTAATAAACAGAAGTGACAAACAAAAACTTTCATGATAACACTCAATGCATAATTTGTACTGATTGTAAAAGAGAAAGGATTTTCATGCTTAAAACTATGTTAGTGGCAATGTGAATAATTTATTAAAGGGGATTTTCAATCATGTAAAATTACATGATACTAATATATATTAATATAGTTTAAGCACATCAAATGTTTTAGAAAAATTATTCTGAACTTCCTTTGATTTTCAACATAAAAGAGACATTTAGTTTTTAAATATCCATGAAAAACTTACAGCAGGCGGACATGCAGCTAAATCAGTGGCACCATCCCCAATCATTATAAGCCTTCTATATCCATATCTGTGTTTCAGATATCCACAAACTTCAGCTTTGCCTTCTTGATGAGAAGTTGGTTCAGCTTCATCAAATCCTGCATATTCTCCTAGACAAAAATATTTACAGCAAATTATATACTTGTAAATTATTAAATGAATATATGAAAAATAAAAAGAAAAAATGCAAAATTATTAATTATTAAACTCGAACATATAATTTAATTATTAAACTCGAACCTCAATTTTCTAATGCTTAATTTTAGCCACTGGTATGTATACTATAAGCATGCATTTTGTAAAAATAGCTGAGATAGCCATTTAAAACATTTCCTTCATATCCTTCTTATATTTATAGATGAGTTAATTACAACTAGTTTATTAGTCTTTTGTTATTATTTTTGTAAATGTTTTTATATGTTGGTGCAATTTAACTGTGATATGACAGGCCGTTTTTGGAAAAAGATTATACGAAAGACCTGTGTTACAGCAGAAGATGCCTGCTCACAATCCCAAAGACCATCCGTACAGTTTGCTAATGCAAGAGGGATTTTACTATGCCATTTAGCGATCTGGTTGGAAACATGGAAAATGAAAAGGCCATGTTAAAGTACTTAGTAACATTTCTGATTAAAAATAATTTTAGGTTACTCTAAATTCTGTTACATGATAACAGATTCACAATAGAAATCAGATTATAGGTTTCCCACTGCATGTCTAATGTTTGTTGATGAAATAAATTTAATGGAAAATAACATAATTTGTGTATCTTTTGTGCAAACATTTTATACAATACTTTTTCCTTATAATTTTGTAATTAGATTTTTGTTCAGGATTTGATTTCTTAATTTTATTTATATTCATATTTTTCATTTGTTTAAAGTAATATTAAATTTTCAACCACCTAGCGGTACCTTTATTTATACCATGTTAGATATTTTAATTCCAAATTTTATTTAAAGTTTTAGCTGCCATTGATCCATATCATTTTACTATCTTCACTTGAACCTTTCATAACATATATAGAGAGAGACCACAATAGGTGAAAAATACTTAAGTAAACATTATCAATGCCATAAAAATTACTGCAATTTTGTTCATCAAAATATAATTCAGAATTGCAGTTCTGGTGATAAAGTTGTAAATTATTTATTAAATTATCAATTACTTGATAAAGTTAATCCTTTTGGCTGCTCCTTGATAAAGGAACAAAAGGGATTTATTTATTTATTTATTATTGTTTTGTTTTACATTATAATTTACATTTAGTTCCAGTATTAATTTCCATATTTATGCTTCACAGTATTTATTTCATTCATTATAGATAACTAACCACTTCAAATAGTTTAACATTCAAACTTACTCTATTTTTATGCATAAATTTCCTATTTTTACTTTTTTATTTACTTTATTTTTATGCAAAAATTAAAATAAAATTATTTATATTATAAATTAAATAAATTTATGCATAAATTAAATTAAATAAATTTGTAACATCCCCTAATATGTTTCATTTAAAAAATAACCTCTTAATTTGTAATAGGCTTTTTTTATTTTAAATATTTTTCTTCCTCTCTTAAAAATTAAAAAATGCCTACAATTAATTTTCCTGATATGGATAATTCCTAAATGAAAATTATTCGTATATCACATATATAATGATGATGACATAGAAACTTGCATTACAGAACAAAATAAAATATCAATAATGTATCTTGCTCAATTTTTAATATTAGTCAATCATACTAATATTATTGGAGCACTCTACATTAGTGGAAAATCTTAACTATGCTGTGAAAGCACTCTTTCTTTTCTAAAATCTTCTCTCTGACTGTAAAGATGTGAAACTTACACTTTACAATTTAAAATAATAGGTTTGCCTGTCTCAATATTTAGTCACTGTGCTACGTTTTAAAAACTTTTTTTAACACAATAAATTTTATTAAAAACTTCCAACACAGTAAGTATTCAGATAATTTATTGCACTTATATACATGTTCTACAAGATGTGTTAAAACCAAAAAGGTTTGTAATGTTTATGGCTGCTGTTTAGTATTAACTAATATTAAGATATTAAAAGAAATGCATGAAATAGCATCATATAAAACAGCGTACTTCCTATTATAGGGTAACAGCATCTTTCAACCATTCAGCATCACACTGAATATAGAGCATTTGAAGGCATTCGTTAGATTTCTCATAAATTCACCCTGTCACTCTCTATATCAAGATTGTTGTATAGTATAACATCGTCAGGAAATTCAAGCAATCCAAAATGATAAGGATGGCTGCAATTATGGCAGATTACAGGCCATACTAGCAATGCTTTCAAGAATGTTAGGAGCACCTGTGCATTCTGATGAATGTTACATGAAAGTTACTAAATAATAATTGTTTTGCCTTTCAAAAAGAAATAACCTATAAACCTTTTCTGTGGATTTTTGGAGCAAAGTATATTATATATGTGTCTGTAAGATATAAAATATGAAAGACAAGAACTAACGAAATTACTGGGTGAGTGAGTGAGATTATGGCAAAACCTCAAGCACTATCTGCCTAAGGGAAGGGATGCCTTCGTGGAGGACTTTCTAAGGGAAACTGGCTCATATACACATTACACATGGGGAAAACCACGAAAACGCCCATGCAGCCAGCCCGTTCGTGGGATTCGAACCTTGGGCCGAGCTTACCAGTGTTCAACGACTTTACCACTCGGCCGCTAGTGGGCCCCATGAAATTACTGAATCAATTGACAACAGACCTTTAAATTCCTAAATTTAATTCATATATAACCCCTTCAAAGAATCTGTGCTGCGCCATTTTGACATCGTTAATCTCCTGCAGTAATAATCCACATTGCTGTAAACTCTTGCCCAATTGCTGTTTAGTATTACAATAAAGGATCGAGCATATAAATAATTCCAGCTAGTTAATATGCATCACTTTTCCCCCCCTGCAGCTTCTTAAGCATGTAATTAACCACTCAGTATTGTAATAACAATGCAATTCGCACCACACAATTTTATATTTCAGTATTGTACAGTCCAAGATCTGGAATTTATGGCCCTTTAAAATTCTGGATTTTGGAAATTTCTGAATTTTAGATCATCTGTTTAAATCTACTGAGATGATATGTACAAATTATACAATTAAAAATATTTTGCATTAATATTATTTTAAAACAGAAGTATTTTGCACACAGAAAGATGTTTTTTGATAGTGGTTGTGGGTTTTTTCACACAGAACACAAAACAGAACAGTAGTTAAAAAAACAACTGAAATAATAAATTTATGAATATTGTTTTGTGCTGCGATGAGAAGCTGCATAAAATTCACAAGATGAATACAAATATAAAACTAGGTAAAATCTGAATACATATAAATATTTAATATAATTTCAAATTAAATAATAAAAATCAGTCCCTCCTAAATATTCAAACAAATTAAAATTCATTTTTTCCCAATTAAACAATCAAGACTTAATCAGGACCATTAAAGTACTTCACTCAAAGATTGCTGAAAAAAGGACATCCTACCAAAATGTGCTGCACCAACAACACAGCACACCAATTGGAAAACACAGGTTCACTTTCGGCTTTTAACAAGCAATAGTGCATTCCTTGAAAGTGGCAAATTAACATGACCTTCTCTTTTTGATTGTTTGTCATCCAATATTTCATCCTAGGTATTACACTTATCAGTTTATAGCTTATTTGCACGTCTACATAATTGCCAAAGAAACAAGCCATCTAGAGAATTCAACAGTGGACTTTGCCAAGATGTTTCCCAAATCATTCTCTTTTATTCCAACATGTCCATGAACCCAACAGTAAAGAATTTGGAAAAAACTCCTTAAGTTTTGATTTAGTCATAGAACTTCTCTAACTACAAAATTCTGGGTATCAAAGAAACTTCCTAAGCATTTTAGTGCACTAAATGAGCCACTATAGATTACAAACCTTTTCTGGCATAGCTTAGAAGTAGGTGTAAGAACATAATATACTCCAGCAATAAATATGGACCAAACGTCATGCAGTCGTCTGCTCTTCACATAGTTTTCAATGACAAACAAAGCACCTACATGACAAGCTGCTTTTGAACCATCATTACACATTGAAATGTAACTGCTGTATTTATGACTGTGCTCAAGGAAAAGATGCCTATATATTACCTCGTTAGTGTTTTCCTTATCAAGATAGCAAAAAACATATATAAGCTGAATTTCTAGATTATCCCAAGACAAAATATCAAAATGCTTTGCTGCTTGGGCCCTAACGTTGGACAAGTATTTTTCAATCAGTGGCTAGGCTCTTGCAGAAAACAGAAGTACACAAAGAGCAAATAATAAATTATAACAGCCATCAAGAATATAGAGATGACTAGGATGGTCAGGTAATGACAAATTAAATTAGTGACGGAGAGACACTTCCTCTCGTTTCAACTGAAGCGATGGTTCTGAGCTATAAACATACAAGCTCTGAGGCTCTGGAGATCTTCAGAATGCTCCAGAACAAATCTCTACAGCCTGATGATGAACAAGATTCACTTTTAATGGAATAGAAGATTGTGCATATCTATTAAACAAATGAGCCATAGTCCACTCTAGAATGGATGAGTGTCCTATGAAACAAAGTAACAGTCCATGCTCTGCACCTAAGAAGTATTTGCCAAGATTTCAAGAAAATTAAGAGTTCTAAAACATTACTATTATTCTTATGCTGATAAATGAGAAGCAACCAACAAATGACTCTGGAACCAAAAACTTATGTGAGAAGGAAAAGGTCTTGTATACTAACCTTTGGAAGTAAACTATCACATACTTTTACAGAAAATGAAGAAAATGAATACTTTTACAGAAATTGATATAAAATCGGAGTCTCGTTTTATTTTTTCTTATCGATTTTTTTTAATTGGAATTTTATTTTTAATTTTTGATGTAGAAATTTCATTAATATTACCAGTACCATTTAAATCTTTGAGGCAAACAGAGAACAGTTTGATGTCTCTAAGAAAAGTGATATCCCTGATGCTGTGATCTCAGACACTACAACAACTGAAGTTTTCACTGTCAAATACCAGAAACTCATGATTTCCAACTGCTTAGCTTGAT